AAAAAAAAGCTCTGAGCAAGAAAGTATTACCTTTGATCCCCGTCGCTTCGAAGTCCCTCGGCTCTTGGGCTGCTTCTTCGCCCTTTCACCCGTCTCTTTGCCTTTCGACGAATGTGGTTCAACCCTCTTGACGGCACCTTTATCGCTGCCTTCCTGCCAGTTCTTGACAGTTTCTTTCCGGGAAACTTTTCCCTGTCGGGAACTCTCATCATCGTTGACAGCGGTCAGGCGCAGTCCCTGAAGCCGCACTCGTTCTCTCCGAGGGGGTAACGTGGAAGAGAGTGCCCCAGCAGCTTTTCTCTGCTGGTAGGTTTTTATTTTTATTCGGGCAACATCGGTTGAGAGCTTCTCATAGGGCGCGGCAGTATCGAATTCTTTGGATGGATTAACCGGCTTTCTTCTGATAGCTCCTTTTCGTTTATGCAAACGTAAATCTTTGTTTTGTTTATTTCCGCTACTACCACCAACTATTCCTTCATTCCTTTCCATTCGGGACCCAACAGCTTCTGTGTGTTTGACTGTCTTGTCGTTCAACTTCTTTGCCGGTTTCCTCCTGATAACTCTTACCGCCGCAGTGGAGACCTCTGTGGTGTCTGCTATCGCCGGTTCACCATGACTGGACCCTTCACTCAGTGATGTATCCTCTTCTGTTTCCATCACTGTTGTAAATTTCTCTGGTGAAATGGTTTTCGATTCCACCAAGATTTCGCCTGTGAAAGCTGCCTGAAATAAGATGCGATTATGGTTGTTCAATGTTCCCCATAGGGTGATGCACATACTTGGACATCTGTGACAGGAGGAATAATCGTCGCTAGCTCCTCTTCCTTGGCGACTTTTTGCAGTTTACTCGTCTTTTTCCGTCGTTGCTTATCCTTCTGCTTCGTCTCTTTCTCATCTGCCTCCAACTGTTCATGGATTGGTTTCGCTCCATATAAATCTTGATTTGCTTTTTTCCTCCTCACCAATGGTGTCTAAAATGATAGGTGGAATAATGGCGAGAGTGAAAATATCTGAACAGTTGCTGTAATTCGCGAACCAAACATAGAAAAAAGATTCCTGGAGATCCAAGCATATAAAGCTGATTAAAATGCAGCCGTCTCCATCCCAGGAATGTGACAAGTGGTATTATAGGCCGCTATTCCCACCTTATCTTTACCATTTTCTCTTCTTGTTAGTAGGGCAGGCTCCTAGGCGCCTCTAGGCGCTTTTCTAATATAAATTTTCTGGAGAAGTCCCCACCGACATGGTTGGAGACAATAGTCCGAATGGAAGCCTCGATCCAGTGTTGCCTACATACGTCCCCTTCGCGGCCTAATGTACGCCAGGCAATAATATGCTCCATATCACTACTACTGCGTCCACTGAACCCTCCTCATACCGTTCCTCAGTTTTTGGGGAGAGTTCTGACCATCGAGCTTGCGACTGTCCTGATGTTTTTTTAAGTCTAACGGGTTCCACTCAGTAAGCACTCTGTTCTAGGGGTTCTCAGTAATTCCTACGAATTACCTATCTTCGAAATGCTTATCGCTCGCTGACGGCAGTCTAATCTCTCAATTGAGCATTTTGAAATTCCTATGGTCATATGGAGCTTTATGCCGGTTTCTTACTCCCCTCTTCATTGGTTTGGGCAATATCGGATTGGTTTTCGATCTTACGATCCCTTTGGAAGTCACCACCACTTCTAACGAACCTTTCCAATACGTTCTACTTCACAGCTCCTGGATCCCTTCTTTTCAGAATTTATCCGTTCCTGCATAGCCAAATTGCTGGCTTCTGTAAGCTCATCATCTGATGGAGGGATTGCGGCTAGATACCTGGAAAAAATATAGCATAGTGACTGTAGTCGGGAAAGATCGAGAAGCACGGTCATCCTATTTCGCTTCTCCCTTTCAATATTCATAAGAAATCGATGTTATTTACTCGAAGTAGTCTCTTCCTTCATACTCGACCAGTGTGAATGGGCTGGTAACGCCCGCCACAGCGAACATGTCGCAAATTCTCCAGTTATTATCGTAGACAACCGAGCGACACGTCCATGCACCACCCTGAAAAAGAAGAGGTAATGTAGTGAAAAACCGATTTCTCTGCAACCTAACTTACGAGAGCAGAGTTCGACCCGCTCTTGGAATTAAGCCACCACATTCGCATTCTGTTCAGAATCGTAGTGGCGTTTTGAATGCGCATGGATCCTACATAGTGACTTGTAGTGGTAAGGCGACGTTCAGGTCACTGATTTTACCCTCTTAGACGAGTCTCGGGCTGAGTAACCCACCCCGGAAGTACAGAAGGCTTGGTTGGCCTAAGCGGATACCGATAAAAGATTGGATTCTCGGGCAGTGGATGTGAAAATGGGCGCCCCTTACTACTACACCACCTCTGCTCGTTCTACTCGATGCGGCAATTCTATTCCGAACTTGTTAATTAATTAAAAAACCTCTACAGGGCGTTCCGAAAAAGATGTGATCTGCCGCTATGATGGCTGACTGTTCAAAATTTTCCGCTTTCCCTCCAAGATTTACCATTTGACATGTCGCTGCGTTTTTGTGGACATCGACAAGCTCCCTTCGTAATCGCTATGGTCAATAAAAAAGTCACATTCATCGGTTGGCGAGTGGTATTTGGAAAGGGAGTGAAGGGGGTAAGAGGAAGTTTTGCCGCAGGCCCGTGTTTCGATCGGAGCAATCCTATAACGTACTCTCTATGCTGGAACAGTGGACAGTTAGGACTGTTATCGGAGACTCAAGCAAGAGCGGTTCAATTCATACGTGAGCTCAGCAGATTTTGAATCAGTCGGTTAGTCAGTGCTGTAAGGGCTAGATAAGCAGTAGAACTTCATTGGAAAAGTCCGTTACGCGTCCACTAAGAAATGGATTACTGGTGGTGCCTTTATCCTTTTGACACTTTTAATAAACTTATTTGACAGTCATTGTACTTTTAATCAGTTCAGTGGCAGTTAGGTGGGTGGACGATTGCGCGTCAAGTTGGTCCAAGATTGGAGGTTGCTCCCTTATTTGACAAATTTCCAAGTCCTCCCTGAAGAATTCCAGACTCCAACTGTAAAGTGGTAAGGACATGTTCCCCAATTACACTGATTCATAATCACTCTGCTTCAGAATAGGCAGGGTGATGCTTACCGTACGACACCATACCGCATCTGCGGATACCAGTATATCAACGGACAGACCATGAATTTGCTCCCTTCCTTACCAGAATTACAACCAGAACGCGGCGTTTTCGATCGGGTAACTCTATAGTGATAAGAAAACGTTCGCAATTGTTTTGTGTTTGTTCAATTACCCACTGAATGAATCCGCTTTGCTCGATTCCGCTTCGACCCTCTCCCATAGGCTTGACCTGCTTTAAGCGGGCGGCGATTGATGTTCACAGGAGATTTCACTTCTACTTCCAAGGGGAACAGGTTATCTCCTACTCTGTTCGTGTTTCTTTAGGACTCCAGCGAAATCACCATCGAAAACAAAACCCACTGCTAATTGCATAGGTCTTCAAATGGGATTTCCAAAAACTTCCGCGATATGACCAGGCAATCCCCACGAATGACCTTCGTTACTTGGGGAAAAAGCGGCGCAGATTGGCACTTGGGCACCTTGGATGATTTCTTTTTGGAGAAATTGATTCCTCGTAAAAGTTATAACCCACTTGATGTTCTATACACCTTTCCAGGCAATCCGTACAGGATCCACCGGTTTTTCGATCAAACATAACGGCGTAGGAAAGTGAAGAATCCATATGAAGTGCCCACTTATCGGCATCTGCAAAGCGGATGTTCGTCAAAGTGCAATTCCATCTCTTCGTTATCTCAGCTCATTGAAGTTAATGTGAGATCGTTATACGCATGATAAATGGAGCAGTTATTGTACTGAATGCCGATGGAAAGGGATATCCGGCTTCTAAAAAAATTAGATTGTCTTCAGAAATCTTACCGAAGTGACAACGAGGTGGATCTCCGATTGCGCGACGAGTTGGTTGCTGCTGGAAGTCGTGGCTTTGGGCTTCCTGCAAAACGTTTACTTCTCATTCTGATCAACGAGTTCAATCTTTTTGTACCTCAACCAAATCATCGAAGGAAAGTAAAACGTTAGAATATCAGACGTTCCACATAAAAAGAAGTACTTGCTGGTTCCCCGATAGGGTTTGAAAGGCTCTTCAGCGTTCTCGAGAGTCACGGTAACTTGTTTCGCTGCTTTCATTGTTCCCTCTCCCCCCCACGGACTTACCCGTAGCCTGCTCGAGAACGAGTTTTTTTCTATGTTAGCTTCCCAGGTGGCAATTTTCTAACTGCAGAGCTTAAGTATGTTGGGTGGTTGCAGTTTGCATGATATATAAATGATATATTTATTCACTGACCAAATGCTTCTATTCATTGAGGTAACTAGCTGGTACAGTGGCAAATGGCGTCACCATCACAAGTGTATGCATAGCCCTAAGATCGAGTCTCGAGTCTTCCCCAAGCCAGGCAACCCTTACGATTTCCCGTGAAGGATAATCGCGCTAGCTTGTATTTCGGTTACCTTAAAAGACCTCAAACATGCCTTATAAATGAGGGCCAAATACGCGCCCAAGCTGTACTACGATCCCAAATAGAAATTGAAGACGTGGCGCATACTAAAAACTAATCGATTAGTGGTAAACGCTATTTCTTTTATAAATTGGTTCAAATCAATTTGTACTATTACAGATGTGCAAATAAATCTTTACGACCAAGACAATGTGCATCCAAAACAGGGTCAAGCCTGGTAATGAAGGAATTGGCCTCATTCGTACATCCCCTTTACAGGTTCCCACTTTACCTTGAATTGCCTACCCTCCTAGGCGATCAATTAGTGAAAGTCCCCGTTCGAGATGATGTTATTGGCAAAAAGCTAGTATATTCGAAAGGTTATGAGCATGCCAAATCCCTGTTTCGTTGATCATATCATTTTTTGCTTCTCTGGTGAGTACGAGCTCCTCCTCAGAGAGCGAAATGCTACTCCTGAAGCGCTATTCACTTCAAGGCTTGGCCCAAGTATCGATTCTTTCCTCCTACTCATTCCTCCTACACTACCGCTAGCATGAGGAACAAAGTTTCAAGCTCCGCAGTCTTTCCTTCGTTCAGGATCGTGAAGGTCTTCAAGAGCTCCTTGAGCCTTGCAGTGACATACAGGGTCAGTTATGGTCTAGGTCAGGGTTCAATACTTCAGATAGGTACGGCAACGACCGGCTGAGAACTGTAGCGAAGGATGGGATCCGGCCAGGATCTGTTACAGCAGTGTTACTTGCACCGGAACTTCTGGAATTTCAGCTAAGCTGATTTTCTGCAAATTGCTCTTTCGGAAAAAAAATTCCGTCTAGTTTGTTCCAGAGTAAGCAGGTTTGTAATTAGGCATTTTACCTCAACTAGATCCGCACGATTTCATAAACCCCTATATATCAAAAACGGCTGAGTAAGTGGACTACTTACTGAAGAAGCATTAGTAGCAACAGTGTCGCCAGAACTCAACTCCTCAACGCTCTCTGCCATCCTGTAAAACGCACTTGATAACGACCTGTACTGCACATATAAAGGAAACACCGCCCGCACCTTCGATATGGGGGCGGTTTGAATGCATCCAAATAAGTCTGAAGACTTTGTGGCTCGTATGAACTCTGAAATGATTCTTTTACTTACAAGTTAATAAGTAAAATAATTAGAAATCGCTTTTGTTTGGCGATTCCTTGACTTAGCTTTGTAGTAAGTGGGAACAAAGTTTTAGTTCAACGTTCGAGAACTTCCGCAAGGAGGACAATAGTTCTGAGCAGTGTTAGCAGGCTTTAGGAGTACGTAAGCTGGCAAAATGGAATATCAGCTGTCATGATATTTGTTAATTTTCGAGTTCCCCTTCAATTCCTTGGTAGCACCAGATGACTAGCTCAGAAGTTGCTTGTAATATGAGATTCTTAAAAATTCTGCAATGGAGAAACCCACCGGCCGTTTGTCCAAATCACCCCTGAGATCTCTTCCGAATAAACGTTGCTCTTCTGGTACTGCAATGTCGATTACTGCAGGTCTGCCGTTCGGGAATAGGAGGGATCTCGTAGCTCTCCCGACTGGTAAACTCTCCTGAAATGGTATGACTGGTTCATGCGAATATCAATGACTTTAAGACCTTAGACAGACTAACTTTAAGAAGGAGCATACATAAACAAAGACGGTCACTTAAGTAACTCACTTGCTCAGAGTTTACAGGGAAATGCCTCTCCTGGGCAGATACGTTGGGCGAAAAAGCGAAAATGAATGAAAGTAGACCAACGAGTTCCTTCATCTTCGCAAAAGACCGTAAGAGACGGAAGGCCGAAGACGGAGCAGTTGAAGCCCCAAAAGGAGCGAAGGAACACCTAGGAGAGGGAAAATTGAAAAAGCTTCTGTTGAAATAGAAGAAGTCCAATCTGTGGGTCAAGTGTTCGACTCAAATGGAAGCCAGTTCTTGTTCAGGTCGAGATAGGGCGGGAGGGGCGTGCTAGACAATATCCTGTATCACATTAGAACCGCCCCGATTTCCGAACTGGTAATAATCGCTTGGGATGAAAACGAAGTCATGATCGGGGACGGCGTTTAACAGAGGATAAAACAATCGGTTAAAGTAATCAACATCTTATCTGGCAGTCAATCATTCTAGCTGGAGTGAAGTTTTGAGGAATGGGTAAGTGGCCCNTCAAGCAGGGGAGACTTCTCATCCCGGTCGAAACAGGGATACGACTTAAAATGCAACTAGCCCGATGGTTCTCCTTTTCGGGAAGTTCATAACGCCAAGGTTGTAAGTGGAATGGCGGGTTGCTTCAATGGATAGGATGAACGGGCAAACCGGATTCCATGAGGTGGTCACTCAGTTACCGAGGAGCGGTATTAAACGGGAACGAGTGCGAAGAATGCTAAAGAATGACGGAAACGTGAACGCCGAACGATTGGTCTTAATCGAAAACGCGACTTTTTCTCACTACCGGTCCGATCACTCGGTTCAATCCCAAATTGCCTTCGATCTAGGCTGATCTTCAATTCCGCGCATGCCTACAGGAGACTGAAAGTTGAAGTAGCACTAAGAAGATGCTATCAAAAAATGCTCGAAAAGAAATCTAATCATCCAAGGGAAATCGACCACCAGGGTAAAAAAGAATTGGCTGGAATCCGTTACACACAAAGATAGCGGGGGGATTTATTCCCACTCATGTAATGAAGTTCCCATTCTTCAAGAAACGGTTCCGTTATTCTGCTGTATCCGTTTGCACAGAAATGCTTTTCTAAGCCTTGTATGACCCTTCGGATTATCTTCATACGAGAGAAAATTGCTCTCAAGCACCTTTATGATTCCTATTGGAAGTTGGAAGCACAGGATACTTCGGGAGATCCCATCAACGGTCTCCAGAAAGGCAAAAACATATAGAACCATCTGTTTATGAATAACTAGCAAGTTTAATGGGATATTGGCAATGAGTTTCGGAGATTAGAAAACGATAGAACTAGCTTCTACAATTTTCTAGGCTATTTTGATGTGAACCTTTCGACCTCAAGGAATTGGAAGGCTTGGAGCTGTAATCGAGAGGTGTGACGTTAGATCAGAGTTCCCGTAGGGCAAATAGGAGATGTAATATATACATACGAAAAATCGGAACTCACCCAGATAATTTAAAATACGTTGGAGTTGCTATCCAGGCTGCAATTTTCTGAAAAAATTTTGTTGCTATTTCAGGGAACTGGTATAAGCCTGGAGGGGCAGAATCCCTTGTTATTTTATGATCAGCGTATTGGAATGGTAGGATTATTCGAGAAACATGTAGGAAATACTTCGAAGGTAAGGTTGTGTGGTAATGGACGATGTAGAGTAAATCCGGTAATACCTTGTGGATCAACGTGAGAATTATGAGGCACTGCCATTCTTCCGTTCGATCCTAACAGAGACGTTCGACTCTCTCAACGTATTTAAGCAGTGGAATGGTGAAATTGTAGGCTCTATGGAGTTCAGACTGGTGTTGCAGAGAATTTCTGGTTTTGTGAAAGGAAAAGTGGCCTCTGCTAATCAGCGCAGAACGCTAATTAGCGCAGAAATAGTAGGCAACGGTACTAAAGGCTGAATTCAGGGTTCGAATTCCATTCAGGATCGTAGTGGTTTTCGAATGAGGCATATCAATTGTTAGAAGAGTCTAGAGATGGGAGAGGAGCGCTCCTTACGGCTAAAACTACTAGCTGAGTAGATGTTCTCGTACCAATTACCTCGTCTGGGNGGGCTATCTTTGTTTTACCGTTTCCCCGGTCTAGTGTGAATTTGTAGCGGACTTCAAAATAGTCACGGCGTATTTATCGTCTGAAATCCCTCTGATTCATACAACTTCCATTACTTTACGTTCGCCAATCCTCCAGTTCGAAAACTACTAAATAATCCCTAAATAGAGACCAATCACACTGTTCCTGCTAGTGTTGGCCCGTGAGCAGGAATCATGGAAGGTAACTACATCCTATTGAAATGTGGATGCTCAAACGAATGTTGGTTGAACTCGGTTAGACAGGGTCACAAACAGGGATGTTTAGGCGGGTATCCAAATAGCTTCTCCCTAACCAAAAGCGTCCGCGTTGGTATGGGCCCATACTAATTGTGAGAGGGCGAAACCAAGACGAACAAGAGGAAAAATAGCGGGAAACCTGAATAGTAGGGAAATAATTAATGTTAACGATTTTTATAATCGGGATCTCAGCCCTGAGTCCTGGTTTTCTGCCAAACCCTTTTCAAAGCCTTTTCAGCAGGGTAAATTACCCCTTGCCTACTCACTTCCCTTGGTGCATTCGTTCCTTGCCCATGCACAGCTTATTTGTCCACTCAGCTGCCTCCAGGGCCATGCAAGGCGAATGAGCTAGCTATAATGGCCGTCATTATCCATCGCTAACGTTATGCATTAATTGTCATCACGTGAGATTTCCCCTCATTGATGTCAGCTTCTCTCAATCGAGTTGATAAAACTTTGTCTTTTTTCAATTCTGGTTCGGAGTGCGCCCGTGCACTCGGCTTTTATCCAGTATCCATCCATCTATGGGTGTGTGAATGTGTATTTGGCATATAAAAAGGACAGCGGGTAAGAGTTGATCAGGAAAACTTAGGAAAAAAGCTGTAGTACTGTAGAAAAAGCAGTTTCAGTGCAAATCCCATTCCTCATGTAACCTCTAAAGCCGAGATAGCCATTGAATGAGATGACCACTATTGGGTGAAGCATGTCTCGGGTGAAACTGGGCTTAAAACTCAAGTATTCAAGTTATATCGGCCTAAAGCTTAAGTTTTTGAGCTATACATAACGGTAATTCGGTACGACGCTTTACCCATGCGACACGATACCCCTAAGCTGACCGCCTTTATCATGTCCTGATGTCTAAACTATCGTGCAGTTGTATCTCCATTAGCTCGTCATAGCGCTCTCAAGAGTCCTCCACACTTTAACATCGAGTGATAAATTCTTCCCACTGCTTCCGATCCTACGCCATAATTGCTCCTTTGTCCCTGAGAACATTCAAAGCCTTCCGGTCTCTATCAGGCGTTCGTCTGCACGTGCCTCTAGAAAAGCTTCTTCTTCGCTCCGCTCCTGAGTGTGTCTATTAAGTAAAGTGTAGGAAACCGAAATTAGTGGAGCTCAAAAAACAACAGTAAGCGAACGCATCAAAAGGAAAAAAATTACAGTCAGTATAGAGATGACCACGTGCGGCTTTCGATGTACCTCGGCATATTTTTGAAAAAACTTTACTTGTACAACTCCACACGAGGTTTACAATACCTTAATGACTAACGTTTCTTTAAAACCACCTTCGTCGGAGCCTTAAAGGATGGAATCAATCTATGAGATTACCCGAACAAACATCTCTACCCCCCACAATATCTTCGAAACCTACTTGATCATCCTACAATTCTAGGTAGATAAAAAGTAACGTACCTTCCTGATGAGCAGAACCGGCCCTCGTGAGTGACGTAGACTGGCTGTCTCGAGTTCAAAATTCACAGTGAAAGGCTAGCTTTATATAGGGGGTGAGTTCGCGTGTGATTGACACGCATTTCCCCTTTAGAAGTAGATTGCTTTAGGGTATAGAGATGGCTCGTTTCGACTCTTCAACAGAAGAACCACCGTCTATACCTCCCCATGAGGCTCATCAGTGGTTTGGGGCTAGCGGGAAAAAGGAGTGGGTAAAGCTGTATTGCCTGAATCAGGAAGAGGAGTAACTATGAAGTTATGTATTCGTAATGCCTATTTCTGTTCACCAATTTCATTAACTAAATAGGTGACTTATTTATTGTCCTTATTAGAAATCCTCATCGCCTGTACGTGTTACAAGAAAGCTTCTTCCTCGTTTGGTTCCTGGGTGTGTCTAGTACATGGCCGTTTGTTGGATTCGCTGCTACGGCATACGTAAGACATGACCGGCCAGTCGAAGTCTACTCCGTACACAACAACGTAGAGGCTGCTCATACGAAAGCAAAGCAGAACATTTGCATGTATAAGACACATATCACGATCCGTCGCAAGCACCTTTGATGGAAAGCAATCATTTCGTGACCGGATCAGTCTTGCTTTTCCATTTTTTCCTTGCATAGAGCGCAATAGGGATCACCATATTGGAGCGTAGGCTCACTTGATGCCATTTGATTTGGACGACGATGACCATACTGGTAACCGTTTCAACGTCACCATTGTGGGTCATAAGTCCGTGGTGAGTAAATCTATCGACAGCTCCAACATTGCGTTAGCTACATTGATGTCTATCCGATGGTCCAACCTCGCTGATTTGAAACTAGCACGTAATCCGATTATGCTCGCTTCCTTGTTGAGATTATCTATGTAGTTCGTCTCCACCTTCACAGAGACGCCAAAATCTACATATATCTTTGAGCTCTCCAGGTAGCGCTTGCCGTTATTTGCTTCACAGCTTTGCTACGGGCGAAATCCAGACAAATGTTGAATAGAATTGTTCAAGGTGTACAGCGTTTCGATACGCCGTGGTTTCTGAAAATTGTCCGTAACGATCCACTGTGAACACTATCGAATGCGTTGTGAGTTGTGAATCCAAGATTGGTAAGGATTTTATACATGACTAACGTTTCGGCGGAATGACCTTATTTGGAGACAGTAATTCGAACATATTTGTGAAGGGTTCTTGTCACCTCTCACTGTGTTCATTATCGCTCCTTCGCTCAAAAGAAGTTTCCGATCATTGTTTTTGATGGGTATGTTGAAGTAGTTGATCAGATTCCAACCCTGGGAACTCGCCAGCAATGTTCTAGAACTTTTCAGTCTT